GGGGGGGGGGGGGGGATCCTTCACGCATGTGCTGCGAGTCAAGTTTCTAGACCTGATGGTTCTTTACGCAGCTAAGCACGACAGCGGGCAAATAGTGGCCGGTGACTGTGTGTGGGGGGAAGGCCTTTCAAGAATATATAAATTCCCTCCATTTGGGAGGCTAAACCAGCCTTTTACAGCCTTCCATATCGTCCCAAGACATACTTGGCCACGAGAGGGGGCCTGCTGCATCTCTGGATGAGTCGCCGCTGAGCCCGCATCTCCTCTGGCAAGTCCCGCCCCTCTTGGCTCTGCGCGCAGCCTCCCGCCTCTCCCCGGGCAGGGAAGGCGATGCCCCCAGAGCGGTGACTCGCAAAGAGACACAGCGGGCCCCCTCCCAGCTTGGGAAGACACGCCCGATTTCTCAGTTTATTTCAGAAAGTTGCCCCCCACGGCCCCAGTTGCACATCCGCATCACCCCAGCTCGGCCTACAGCACTCAGCCTTCCCGAGCCACGTCCACGCGCAAAGTGATAAGTGAACAGCGCCCCCCCGGGAGTCTCTCTCTAGACGTTAAGGAACGATCCCCGGTCGCCGTCTGCAGATTCCGGCTCCACGCAGCGGCCTTTCCGCCGGATGACCCTCCGGTTCCGGTGGAATTTGGCGTAACAGCGGAGACCTGGCGGGGCAGAGAAAACCTCTGAGCGTCGTTTAGGGGAGAGGGTCCCCGCAGAAGGAGGAGGCGACCCCCGGGGCTGCTCCCCCGAGAAGCATCCCCGAGTACCTTCGGCACACATGCAGTTGTCGTAGCATTTATTGTTCAGCCCACGGTTGTGCGACTTGCAGATGTGCTCGCGCAGATCACAGCAGCTGCCTGCCAGGGGAAACGACCCAGTTTAATGCGCAAATCAGCCGGGTGGGGAAAGGCTGCTCTCTCGCAGAGCAGGAGGCTAGTCCTCATGGAAAGCGGCACCCACCTGAGAGGCAATCCAGGTGATGGTCGCATGGCTCCCCTTCGGCGGAGGTCGTCTCGTTGCCCCCTTTCGGACTCCGCCATTTCTCTGGCAGGACGAAAGCGTGGATGAGGGCAACCGAGAGGAAGGGGGGGGGAACGGTTCAGGTAGACATTTACTAACCACGGAGGCTCCATCTAACCATTGGGCCCATCGGCCGCCCCTTCTGTGGATTTCCCCAACCCGCTGGGTCTCCTCCCCAGGGCACCCGAAGGTCGTTTGATGAACAGGGGTTACCTTTCTTCCTGCTGGACGGCCACATGTCCAGCCGGAGGTCTTCGTAGTCTGTCCAGTCGAAGAGGGCCATGTCCAGGGTGGGCATCACCTCGCCCTCCTGCCAGACACGGAGCTGGGGCTGAGAGGAGATGGCTCGGACAGGCAAGGGGTCCTCCGTCAGCGTCTGGGGCGCGGAGCTGGGGAGGGAGGTGGGCACCAAGCCGCCCGAAGCCCCTTCCCCGGGGAGAGGCCGAAGGTGGTCCACAAGGGCGCCTGGCTTCTTCACCAAGGCCCTCGGTCTCAGCTTGGAGCCTTTCCCTGAAAGAGGAGAGAACGGTCGTCGGGGACTCTCGCAAGGGACCTTCCAATTCTGCCAACCACTGGAAGAGTGCCCCTGTCCACGGAGGTTCTACCAAGCTAAGAGCCGTGCAATTGCACCTTAGGAGGGCTCTGAGGCTGCTAACGAGCCAGATACAAAAGCGCCTCAAAAACTTTGGGGTCCAGTTGACCTGGGCAGGTAGACTGCTCCTCATACTGGAGGTCCTCTCTCAGGGGAGGACTCATGTCAGCCCCTAGTGCAATGGCGCCGCAGCCTGAGCCCCACAGCAGAAAAAGCGGTAAAAGAGCCTGGAAGGGGATCTCAGAGATCATCCATATGTACCCCTTCCTCAACCCAATACGGGATGTTGGCTAGACAGCTGATTTCTAAATCCCTCCCGCCACCTCCCTTGTTTCCCCCTCCTCTAGCGGAAGCCAGGGGGCCCTGCTCTTCTCTGCCCCCCACGGCGGCTACCTCGATGCTGCTTCAGCCTCTTCCTACGGCTGTGTCGCCGGTGCTCCTGGCCCGGTTTCTTCCCCCTCTCGGCCGCGGGAGCGTGGCTCTCCTGCTGGGGGTACGGGAAAGCGAACCCCGCGAAGGCATCTTTCTGCCGGAGGTCGGCGGGCCGCTCCATCACGCCCGATTTCGGCCCCTCCCAGCCCGGCCAGCCCCGGAGGGGATCGCCCCCCACCTCCCGCGAA